ATTACACAGCCTGAAGTAGCAATAGTGCCAAGGTTGAGAACGCTTGAGCCATACTGTCTTGTATTGCCTATTATTTCGCGGATGTTGCCCTTGTCTCCATTTATTGTTTCCTATCCTTTAGTCCTCTAGTGCTGGCTAACCACACGAGGCAGTCCAACCTTAGTACCTTCCTTGTTTTACTTTAAATTATTTTCTTTAACCAAAAACCTAGTTAACAGTTTTCTGCAGCGCCTCAAAGCTGATGAGGCCACAAAGAAGGGCAATTCAACTTAAGTCTCTTTTTAAACTAGTTGCCGTTAAGTTGTCTCAGATTCATGGTGACCCTATGAGTGTCAGAACAGAACTGTGCTCCACAGGGTTTTCAATGGCTGACTTCTTGGAAGCAGATCTCCAGGACTTTCTTCCGAGGAGCCTCTGAGTGGACGCGAACCTCCAACTTTTCCGTTTACAGTCTAGCGCATTAGCCATTCGCACTACCCAGAGACTCAAAGTCTCTTTTTACAACCTTCTTAACCTGCCTCAGGTAGAACACTGAAAGAGAACAATTTGTTTGCAACCCTCTGTACCCTACCCAAATATCAAATAAAAGGTCTATCTTTCCATTCTTAATGTCTGAGGTCACCCAGGCTTGGAGCTGTCAAGTTTTCCCGATAAAAATACAACCATTGTCTCAACTCTCTCCAGGTGCAAACTGGCAAGATGCAAATTGCTCAAAAAGAACCCATTTAAAACACTAATGGAAGCAATGAGTATTTTACCTAAGTCTTCAGCCTTCCTAGTCTTTGTTGAGTTTTTGTGGCTGCCACACAAATAAAAAGTCAGCAGGCAAGTACAGTAAAACCTGTGAAATCCAGAATCTGTGTAAGGCAGAAACCCAGGCGAGAAGGAAAACTCAAATATTTTTCACTAAAACTAGCAATAGAAAAGTGGTAAGACTGCACCCTGTCAAAGGTGGAAAATTTGCAAGACCCAGAAAAACAAGGCAGGACTGTCGAGTTCCAGCTCTCACAGGTTTCACTGTCTTATCTACCACCAAAACTAAAAAACCAAACCTGTTGCCGTCAAGTCAATTCCAAGTCATAGCGACCCTACAGGACAGAGCAGAACCGCCCCGTAGGGTTTCCAAGGAGCAACTGGTGGATCGGAACCGCTGACCTCTTGGTTAGCAGCCAAGCTCTTAACCACTGCACCACCAGGGCTCCTATCAACCACTAGATTCATAGAAAATGGAATCATTGAAGATGTGACTTTGGAGGGAATGCTCAAAACTTCCTGACAACATGAGTTCCCTCTTGATCCACAAAACACTAGGTGCTTAAAGGCTCTGCAAGCACCGGATAAGAATTCCTCTTTTTCCATCTATAGCACCAACTCTTGATTATCAGGAATGCCTGGGGAGTGTCATGGAGAGACCTACTGGGTCCAGGTCCAGCTAGATCTCACGCCTATATCCAATGAACAACTCTGCTGTCATCTGCATCACACACTGGTGCATAAAATAATTTTTTATTTGCAAAAAACACTCTGCATGAATGTATAAACAACACGTAGTATATCCATATAATGGAATATCATTCAGCCATAAAAAAAATGAAGTACTGATACTGGCTACAGAGGGTATGAACCCTGAAAACATTATGCACAGTGAAAGAAGCCAGACACAAAAGACCACATATTCTATGATTCCATCTACATAAAATAGTCAGAAAAGGCAAATCTAGAGAGCAAAATGTAGATTAGTATTTGGCTGGGGCTGGGGGTGGGAACAGGTAGTGACTGCAAATGGGCACCAGAGATATTTTAGGGGTGATGGAAACCTTCTAAAAGTGGATTGTCATGATGGTGATAATCGCACAACTCTCTAAATCTACTACAAATCATTAAATAGTACACTGAAAACACGTGTATTTCATAGTATGTAAATTATACCACAGTAAAACTCTTAACATAAAAAATTAATGTAACAAAAAAGGATTCTGCAGACAAAAAAAAAAAAGTTGGAGGAGGGATAACTACTCTTCTCCAAGCTCCTCATTTTTATACATATGCAAACTGAGACTCAGAAGTGAAAGCCAATTGCTAGCATCATTAAGATTAAAGAACCCATCTCCAGAATTCAATTTTGAGGTCTTAGTCCACTCAACCTCATTTGGAAGTGTCATTCAAAGTTTAAGTAAATACAAATATTTAACTTCACTTGTGTAGACACATAGACCAAGATTCTCAGAGGCCTCTACCTAAAACAAAGAGTAAACATCCTAATAAAAATTATGCTGATGATCTACAACAGTCTTAGGTAGTACAAGCATGACAGGGCAAAGCAAGACTTTAAAATCCTACAGGTTTCAAAGACATTCTAATAGGAAAAACATGCCCACCTGGCCCTCAGGATTCTTAAACTGCATTTTTAAAAATCAGCAGAGCAATGTGTACCGAGATATGGCAGACAATCGCCAGGTTCCAGGACCACGAACTCTGCTACAGGAGTTCATTTTAGACCTGATACCAGCACCTCCTGGCATACCTAGAATTATGGGTGTTTGGAGACTGAGGGCCAGACTAAGGGCATATCATTCCACTAACTGAAAGTTTATATCACAGAAAAAAAATAACGAAACTGAACCATGTACCAGACCGTGTAGACACACAGAAAAGAGCCAGGCAGGGTCCACATCAAGCTGTAAGTCATGGTAGTGTCTGGGGATACGGGGAGGTAAAGGGGACTGTCGCGGTTTTTACGAGAGTGTATTCATGAAGTACTTCGTGCTTATAAACTCATATTTTCAATACATGACCCCAAACGTCCCCACCGCGCCGGGTTGCCTGCTGCATCCCTAAGTCATCGCGATGCCGCTGCCCTGTCGCAGTAGAAGAACTGACTAGGGACCCGAGGCCGCTCCGCGCGTGGCGGCCCGAGCCCCGGCCCGAAGGGCGTCTGCAGCGGCGAGCAGGAGGTCCCGGCCGGCCGGCCCCGCCGCCCCTCACCTCGCGGCCTCCGGTGCGGCCGACACACCTGAGCGCTCGGGAGGCCGTCGGGAGGGGCGGCGGCGGCGGCCTTCGGGCGCAAGCTGACGGTAGCCCACCCGTCGGGAACGACTGACGTACCTGCGGCTGCCTCACGCTCCGGTCCGGCGGGCCCGGGATAACCGAGCCTCTACCGACAGCACGCCTCTGGTCTCCATTCGAGGCTGTTTACTCCCAACTCTCGCGAGACCGCACTACCCGATCGGGAGACTAGCCGCTGGGAGCGCCGGCCTCCGCCGGCCCTGCGTGCCCAGCGTGCTCCGCGCGCCCGGGACCTGCGTGCGCGCTCCGGGCGCCTAGGGGCCGCCCGGCTGGGGCCCGAAGGAGGGGCGACGGTCTCGCGACATTTGTGGCGTGGAGGAGTGGCGGCATGCGGAGGGGCGTGGCCAACTTCCTCGGAGCGGGTGGGAGTTTGTGAGACTCAAGGGTTAAAATGCCCTCGCTGGGGATTCGCTGGGCTTTGGGGCCAGGGATCTCGGAAAGCGGCCCAACTGAGTCATATTTACAGAGGACGACCCTGGTGAAACGGCCCCCTTCGCTCAGAGGTTTGCCAGCATTGGCCAGAAACGTGTTGAATGGTCGTTACTTTAGTGGAAACTTCCTCCGGGCCCCTCTTGGGTGTCTGTATCCAAAGCCAGGCTCATGGCCCTTTCTCCCCAGCCTAGGCATATGAGAATCCCCAACCCCGCTTAACGGCACCTCCCCAAGCACCCAGTCTGTAAGTCTATCCGCCCCCACTTCTTCCTCATCGCCCAACACCAGGAGTACTCACTCCCAGGTGCGGGGCTAAACACCTTTCCACTTCCTCCCCATAATTAAGCGAAACCACAGGCATCACTACCTATGTTACCGTGCGGCCGCTGAGGTGCAGACAAGTGAAGTGGCTGTGAGGATTGCAATTCTGAACAGTCTGACTCCCACTCTAATATGCTAAACCTTCTCCACCCCAAATTCCATCTAGCGAGCTCTTAAAATAGAACCGCAGAATACATTGGTTGAAAGCCTAGAAATCATCCCACCTCAGGCACTTTGTGACCCTGGGCAAGTTGTTTCACCTCTTCATACCTCAGCTTTCTCACTCTGAAATAAAGATACTGATACCTAACTCATTAGGGTGCAGTGAGGGTTAAGTGAAGCATAAAGTGCCTGGCTCCTGCACATGTTCAAAAGTGGTGGGGGGTTAGTATTTAGACCAACTCATATCTGATGCTTAAGACTTTCTCCCCATTCTGAGCTCACATTCGATTTTATGAACTTTCAGAGAATTCTTGATGCTTGTACATTTGTAAATCCTCAAAGTTAAGTGCTTCCTGCTGTCACCATGTAACGTATTTGATCTTAACTGTGTCCTTCTAATTTGGGGTACATTAATTTTGGTCAGGCTTCTTTTAATAGCCCTCAATCACTATGCCAGGGAGCCTTGGTGGTGCAGTGGTTAAGCGTTTGACTGCTAACCAAAAGGTCAGTGGTTCAAACCCACCAGCGACTCCATAGGAGAAAGATGTGGCAGTCTGCTTCCATAAATATGACAGCCTTGGAAACCCTATGGGGCAGTTCTACTGTGTCCTATAGGGTCGTTATGAGTCAGAACCTGACTCAAAGGCAAGGTTTTTTTTTAAATCACTATACCACTGAATTCACAGGTCGACAGTGAGTTGCAAACATAGATGTCATGTGATAGTGAAGCTCCAACGCAGAGAAGAGGATGCTGAGGCCAGCTTCTGAGAATGCCTATAAATCGAAGGTGGCTGGGTATGGCAGAGATAAGTTACTTGGAGATCTACCAAGCAAGACTGAGGGAGCTACAGGATCCTGGTATACAGGTTTTCCACCACTCCAGGGTCTAAAATAACTCTCTAAACTCACTGCTTCATGGACATAAAGCATTCAGTATTCCATGAGAAAAAAAACAAAAACTAAACCTGTTGCCATGGAGTCGAATCCGACTCATAGCCACCCTATAGGACAGAGTAGAACTGCTCCATGGCGTTTCCAAGGAGCGGCTGGTGGATTTGAACTGCCACCTTTTGGTTGGCAATCTGAGCTGTTAATCACTGCACCACCATGGGAAGGTAAATCTTTATTCAAAATTAAATGTTCCTTTAAAGCATAACAGCCAAGACAACAGTGAGACACAGACTGGAATTGGTTTCGGAGGACTCAGTGTCAAGACTGAAGACAAACCACCTAAACCTCTGGTTCCCAAATGTAATTAGATTCTCAGTAATTGGGTTGGAAAAAGGGCTCCTCAAAAGAGTTGTCTCCACCTGATGTCTCCCCTTTTTTCTTCTGACTCTTCCTTGAACCCACTCCACTCTAGCTTCATCTTCTCCACTTGACTGAAATGGCTCAATGCCAAATTCAGTGATCAAAGTCAGCAGTCATCTTACTCAACGTATCAGGAAAATGAGATCAAGAAAATGACTTAGTTTCAAAAGACATACTGGAGACATTGTTACATACAATTTTCTTGCTGAATTATCAGCTGTTAATGAATTACTACCACAGGTAGTCAAAGGTTAATTTTTGGTAACTTTTTATAATTGTTTGTCAGTAAGGGGGAAATGTATCTCTTATTCCAAACAACCAATTTACAAACACTTGGAGAAAAACCTCTTCCAAAAGAAGCAAAAGCAACTGCTTTTATTTTTAAATTCTCAGTTTACAGATTAAGTTTCAAAGGTTCTTATTTCCCACATCCTCAGTGGGAAACCCCATCCACAAACTGTGGTGCAACTAAGGCTCTCAAATGAGCTCTGGAGAAAAAAAGAAAGAAGTACTTTATGAAGGATAGAAAACCTAAGGAAGAGTCTTGGTTTTGATCTTTCACTAAAGCGATGGACAAGCTTATACTACATTTGCACCAACTGGCATATCTACCTATATCCTGCTAAGCGGAGAATTCAAAAACATCACTGACATGGTTTACTTAGTCTCATCACATAACAATGATTCACTACCTAATTTATAAATATAAGACAACACGGCACCACACAACTTTAGATACAATTATCAGACAATATTTTTACATAAAGTTGCAGCTTCATATCACACACATCAAGTAGAGTTCAGGTCAATGTGGCATGAGGTTAAATTTTTTCTAGACTTAATGATCATAAATTAATTTTAAGTGAGGGAAAATACCAAATGTGACAAAATAAAGGTTTCCAAGGTAACTCCATCAAAACATTCAGTGTTACATAAAATCTCCAGTTCATAATTTTTCACATCTTATCCTCTTCTGTCATCAAGACATAGTCTATCAGTGGATGAGCTTCTGGATTTAACCACTGCTCTTCTGAGTCCAAGACATGGGTGAAAATACTGCAGGCCATGTCACTGACAAAACTGTGTGTATCACATAAAAGTGAGCTTAGGCCTACTTATAATGGAATATCATCTCACAAGAAAACGATTCCATAAATCTGACTTTCAATGAATTTACTAGCTTCTGCATCAGTGTCACAATATCAACTCTGAATTTTAAATATGCACATATTGTCATATTCATATTGTGATTTACAGTTTTCAAAGCACTAGGTATGTGGTCCTTAAAAATATCTGGCTTTATAAGACTTGAACAAAAAAAAAAAACAACAAAATAACATTTCACAGTAGGTTTCAATGCTAACCCACACTGTAGGGGTTTGTGCATAATTATCTTCACACCAATAAAAGTATTCACTATAATGCATAAATTCATTACACGAATCAAGAATGGGCTTCTAACATATTATTTCAACAGCTATAATACATGATTATCACAGACATAATTTATGCATATTTTAACTAGTATTCCACAAATACTTGATGTTTGTAACAATAACGCTACTGGACTGGAATAAGAAGACATAGAAAGTGTATGGAAACCAGAGACAGAAAGCTCTAGAGGGCTACATTTCAGCTACAAAATGGAACACAGACTGATCAATCACTACTTGCCCACAATAGTTATCTGTATAAATCAAGACGGGACTCAGAGTCATCCAGTACACGTCCAAATCAAGGAATGAGTTATTGTCATAGGAGATTAAAATGAAAACCAGAATGTGCTAAGTAATATTACACAGGGCAAATCAACAGCACAGGATTGGGTAGGTTTGCTTAGTATGAAAAGGAATAATCTAGATTTTTAATACCCCGTAAGGTTACACATTAAGCCAGCTTGACATGAAAACTTTTTTGAAGTAATTTATCCATAAATAAAATTGCTCATAGACACACATACTCATCTCTGATGAAACCTCAGTAGAAGAGCAGCACTTTCATATACAAACAACTAAAGCTATGCAATGTAATACACACTATGTTCACTGCTAATAATACCAGCAATCTTAGTTATAAAGTAACACATTTAAACACTCTTTCCTGATGAACATTTGAAAACCAATACTGCAATTCAGCTAATGAAACAGGTATTTACCTTAAAAAAATCTGAAATTACAAGAGCTGACAAGTCATATTTTAAGTATATTTCAATTTCAGATTGCCTTGGTTCAGAGAGCAGCATAAATCACACAACTCTTGCATAGCTTAGGGGAAAAAAGCATCGAAATTTAGGTTTCTCCAATTAGTTCCTACACGACAGTTGTTATTTGCTCTGTGCCGTTCAAGTGTCCCTTGAGGTTTTCCCCACAGTATTCTCTAAAAGTATCATGTTTGCTTTGCAAATGATGACTCAACAGAATGCTAAATAACCAGAAATAATAGAAAATATATGAGATGAATTAACCGTATTCTTCCAAATGTCAGAATACCATAGGTTCCCGTAAGTTGGTGAAACTTCTAAACGATCATCCAGGTTCATGCTTTGCAGGATAAGGCCTCCTTACGTAATGAGCGGTTGAGAATGTTTGCTCCCCACACCCAGAGCCACTCAGGCATATACTGTGCAAAAAGAAACTAAAAATGAAAGAGAAAGAGGGTTAGAAGGTTAGACCTCAAAGCCATCAACACTGAAGTGCTAAGATCAGCCTATGATTTAATCCATCACATATCCACAGATCACATTAAACACAACAAAGGAAAAAGTGCTTCGGGACTACTGTACTGAGCACCTAGTCTTGCATAAGACTGTACTCCTAGACTCTATGGGGAATAGAATAGAAACATGATCACCACTCAGCCCTTTCTCCAATGAGGCTGGACAGACCTACACATAGAATACAATCCCATTGTTGCTTAATGTGATACGAATAGTACGTTCATTACAAAATCATTCCAGAAAAAAAGGCAGTTGATATAGATAGATGCATAAATAGATGCAAACATGGTTAGTACTGGATGAGGAAACTGGGGTTTGAGGAGCAAGATGGAGCTAAGTTAAACAAGAGAACTTAGACACCAAGACACAAGATACCAGAGGCCCAGTATTTGGTCAGGAGCCATGGGTAACTCCCTAGGGAAATAAAAGGTTTCTTTAAAACTCGTTGCTGATGAGTTGATTCCAACTCATAGCGACCCTATAGGACAGAGCAGAACTGCCCCCAAAGGGTTTCCAAGGCTGTAAATCTTCACGGAAATAGACTACCACATCTTTCTCCCACAGAGCAGGTGGTGGGTTCGAACTGGCAACCTACTGATTAGCAGCCAAGCGCTTAACCACTGCACCACCAGGGCTCCTTAAGGTTTCTTTTGACCCCTTTAAAGAGCCAAGGGAAAATACCTGGATTCTGCTCCTTGGAGCCTGTGCCCTAAACAAATCATTCCAAATCCAAGGAGATCTAAGCAGCTTCCGGTCCCTGGGGAGGAATCTGCAGGCAGGCTACACTAAACCACTAGACGGTCAGATTCCCTTCAAAGTGAAATTCCTGACATATTGTTTCAGTGCTTATGTAGTGTGTGGAAAGGAGCCCTTCAAATTAGCACATGAAAAACTCTCATTTTTTCTCCCAAAACCTGATTCTTCCTCTTATGCTACCTATCTGAGTAAATAACACCACTGAGTTTCTGAAGCCATAAACCTGAGAATATTTTGTGCTGCTTCTTCCTCTTTAACCCATCTACCTCCTCTGCATTCAACCCTCCTCTTCAATCTACCACCATATCTGGCAAAAAATAAACTATCATTCTTATTTAATTCCTAATGTGGAAGACTAATTGGAATGAACACAGAATAAAACTTCATGCAGTATGTTTGACATATCAAACTCCATCAACAGTAAATTTCTTATAGGCAAGAGATTGAAAGAGGATTAAAATCTTGACATAATTTAGATTGGCAAAATTCAACCTGGGAAAAATGCATTCAGGAGAAATGATGACTACAAAAGAAAAATCACAGTGGCAAAGGCAATCAGAGAAATCTACTATGGATGAAATAGCAAATGATGAATCAAATCTTTGTTGTAAAATTGAAAAAAAAAGGACAACACTGAAAGTAATTTGAGTAAAATGAAAATAGAAAACATTGAAACAGTTTAACAGCTCTGAATAGAAAACTACTCTGGGAATTAAATTGGCTTGACAGAACTTCTGGGCAGAAAAAATACGTTCTCAAGAAAAGCTCATCAATGTGAACAAAGTCCAATTGTGATTAAAATACCGGTGTGTATAAACAGTGTTAAAATAGCAAAGATGTCACTTTGAGGACTAAGGTGCACCTGACGCAAGCCAAGCCATGGTATTTTCAATCACCTCATATGCATGCGAAAGCTGGACAATGACTAAGAAAAACCAAAGAAGAATTGATGCATCTGACTTACGGTGTTGGTGAAGAATACTGAATATACAATGGACTGCCAGAAGAATGAACAAACCTATCTTTGAAGAACTACAGCCAGAATGCTCCTTAGACGTGAGGATGGTGAGACTTTGTCTGACTGACTTTGAACATGTTATCAGGAGGGACCGGTCCCTCAAGAAGGATATCATGCTTGGTAAAGTAGAGGGTCAGTGAAAAAGAGGAAGACCCTCAATGAGATGGACTGACACAGTGCCTGCAACAATGGGCTCAAACATAGCAACGATTGTGAGGACGGTGCAAGACCAGACAGTGTTTCATTCTGCTGTACATGGGGTCACTACGAGTCGGAACTGACTCACTAGCACCTAACAACAACAATAAACAGTCAAAGCATCTACCGAATCTAAAGCCTATCCTCATTACATCTTCATTTCTAAGGGAACTCCCAACAGTCAGCAGCATCTAAGACTACTGTTTAGGTTTCTCTGCTTTTCTCAAGTAACTAAGAACCTGGAAATGGCCACTTAAATAAAACTTTCTTCTTCAGCAAACTTTTTGCCACATCCTTTGATAAAAGTAAAAATTAACTGTTGACTCACTTATCTATTTATGTGGTGGTTGTAAATCTAATAATCTTTACGTAAATAGTCCCAAAAATATGCATTTAGTAATTAAGAAAACACTACATATTAAAGAAAAAAAATTTTAAACAGGGCACATCTATATACTATGCCAGATAAAGAAATACAAGTCTATTATAATAAATCCCCATATTCTCTACCTAAGAATCAAAAATGTTTCTCTTTAAAACACTACAGACTCAAATCTTTGTCATGCCGGAACAACACACTTTTAAAAAAATTCTATGCTTCTTGAACAAGAGAATTCAAGAATATCCTGAGATGTTATCTGACATAATGGTTATGTACAATAAAGGCCTATTTTATGTTTCATGTTGTTCAGATTGCACTATTGACTTAGAGGTACCCCTTCAAACATTACTAGAATCTTTCTTCCTTTGAAATTCCCATATAAATATGTAATAGTTTTATACTGCTACCGCTCAGACTTACATTAAAGCAGCATATTTCATCTTTTAGGTGTCATACAGATTGAACATTTGAATATTCTTAATAATTCCACAAAAGAAAATTCAGTGACTTAACCAAAATCATCAAGAATCACATTTTACAATTCTCAGCTTTCAGCATTGGGCTTCATCAAATTCCTATGTATCATTTATAAAGGTTTGGGATGCATTAACCTCATTACGAGAGCTGAGAGCACAGCATTACCTGAATGGAATGGGACCAGTATCCTGTGGTCCTTTTTGAAATTCCAAGGGTAGAAACAGCATGATGTGCGTATACTTTGGGTGAAGGCACTAACCACGGGCATTTGTGCAGAAAGCTGCTGTGAGCAGACATGTTGGTAGCTACATAGAATGGGATCAGACTTTGTACAAAGATGCCTTTAGAAGCATATTCATACTGTAACGCTCTGCTGAAGTGATCTAAATAAGCCTGTTAAAACAGAGGGGGGGAAAAGGCTTACTTTAGTTTTCAGGAAAATGAAAGAATATCCAGGAAAAAAAAAAGACTTGGTTACTATAATTTCAGGAAAAAATACAGTATAAGTAAAAAATGGTTGCTGACAAAGTACTCAACAAATCTGACCAAACAGCTATAATAAATTATCTAATGCATTATACTTTCTCTTTCTAGTAATTAATACATTACCTTAGAGGCAGAAAATGCGGCCAGCTGGGGAGTTGGTTTGCAGCAGGAGCCGGAAGAGATAGTGACGATAGCACCTTTCTTTCTCTCCACCATTCCTGGTAATACTATATGGACCATCAAACTAGCTGCAGCGATGTTTACGTTAATGATGTCCCAGAGTTTGTCCTCAGAGACCTGAGTAAAATACTGGGGGTAGGGGTAGAACACACCTACATTATTTACCAAGATACCAATGTCTTTGTCTTGCAGGGCTTCTCGAATTGGGACATAGATCTCACGGCCATTGCTGAAGTCCGCAACTATAATATCAGTTTCCACTTTGTAAGTGTCAGCTATGTCTTTAGCAACAACTTGCAACTTCTCTTTGTTCCGACTGATTAGGACAATATTGAGACCACGGCTTGCTAGCTCTTCAGCATAGGCTTTTCCAATCCCATTGGTTGCACCTATAATGCAAAGGGGAAAGTGAGCACACTCGTTTCATGGGGAGACTTTTAAAATAGATTTGAATTTCAAATTCTCATGGAATCCAGACTTTCTGGAGTCATGGAGGCTGGATAAACCCCTAAAACTATCACCCTGAGATACTCTTTAAACCTTAAACCAAAAATATCCTCTGAAGTCTTCTTAAAACCAAACAACATTTTAGCTTAACCAGTGAAGAATGTCTGCCTTGAGCATTGTGCTCTTTCAAGATCTATCTATATGGGATCAAACTGACAACAGCAACTCGAAAGATTAGATAGGAAACTCAGGGAGCAGTGAGTTTATGTTAATGGGGGAGGAACTCAGAAAAGGAGGGTGAGAATGCACAACTCAAAGAATGTAATCAATATCACTGAATGGTACAAGTAGAAATTGCTGAACTGGTATATGTTCTGCTGCGTATATTCTAGACAACAACAAAAATAAATTATTTTTAAAAAATGGATCTGAAATATGCCATTTCCATGTTTAATCAGAGAAAAATGCACACTCGAAATAAAAGGAGTTCTAGTATTTACCAGTCAAGTACAACAATGTTGAGCCAATAAGATGAATGATAAAAACCAGTTGCCAACAAGTTGCTTTCAACTCATGGCGACCCCACGTGTGTCAGAATAGAACTGTGCTCCACAGGGTTTTCAATGACTGATTTTCCAGAAGTAGACTGCCAGGTCTTTCTCCTGAGGCACCTATGGGTAGACTGGAACCTCTAAACTTTGATTAGCAGCTGAGCACATTAACCATTCACACCACCCAGGGACTGATACATGCTAGTTAAATGCACTCCCATGCTGGCTGAATGGACACAGGAAATCCAGGGTGGAAAGGAGAAGTGTCCTGTTACAGTATAGGGAGAGCAACTGGGGTCACATAACAATGTGTGTATAAATTTTTGTATGAGACACTAACTTGAATTGTAAACTTTCACTTAAAGCACAATAAAAAATAAAAATAAAAAACGCTCTTCCAGACACCCTGACAGACAACAGATGAAGAGCTATTTTACATTTACCAAGTTGGTATGACACACAATAGGGAATTGTTTTCAAACTTGTATCTGGAGTGAATGTGTACCAGGAGGTACTTTTTCTAGAAAACAATCATAGCTTAAAATGATATAAAATAGGTGAAGCATTTCTGAAAATGGTGATGGTGTCCAAGGACAATTTCAGAACAGGGAGCAAAAAAGAAAAGCAGGGGGTTGGAAGGTGGGGCTAGAGTAGGACTGTGAATAGGAGAGGGCAGAGTAAGAAGAACAGTCATGAGGAAAATTCTTCCTAAGATGAGCGCAGTAAACAACGTGAACATAACCATAACAGGTGTACTAAATTTTATTATTAAATCACCACGTTATTAAATCATCACATTAAATTCAAAAGCTCTTTCAATAATGCATAGGACTCAAAATATAACTTGAACAGAAAAGATGATTTTGACTTTAAATCAGGCAAGAATTACAATCTCCCTTCTTACCACTGACGACCGCCCATCTTCCGTACTGCTTGATCAGATCCACTCTGCTCACCAGGCGAGGGATAAAATGTAGCCTGACCAGGCTGTAAAAGTCACAGATGACGGTGATGCTCTTTCTGGCTGTATACCAGGCTCCAACCAAAGCTAAGGCTTCCATATAGCAATTGCAAGACCTGGCAATCTCCCTATACAACAGGTAGAAGCTGTCCACAGCAGCCATGGTGATGGCAACCTGAAGGGAAGGAGAGGTCTTCTTTGGTTAGTTAAGTTAAATGAACATGCAGAGTTTGAGTTAAGGAAGGCATCAAGGGACATTTGATCTGGACAATTCTGAATCCAATAATAGTAACTTTTCAAATGCATGTAGTTTATGGATCCAAATCAAAAAACACCAAACCCATAACCATCAAGTCAATTCCAACTTACAATGACCCTATAAGACAGAGTAGAACTGCCCCACAGGGTTTCCAAGGCTGCAATCTTTACAGAAGCAGACTGCCACATCTTTCTCCTGCAGACCGGCTGGTGGATTTGAATCACCAACCTTTCGGTTAGCAGTTAAGCACTTAACCACTGCAACACCAAGGCTACTCAGCCTATGGATCCAGTCAATTTATTATCATATTAGTTAGGAGCTATAGCTCATAAACCACTTTTCTTCCAAGGAGATTAATCAACATAACTACCAAGAGTTACCAAATTCCTACTAAGATCCAAAAAATAGTAAATTATATGCACTAGTATGTCTCAGGAGTCTCAGGGTGGCGCAAACGGTTAAGTGCTCCGCTGCTAACTGAAAGGTCAGTAGTTGGAACCCACCTAGTGGCTCTGCAAGAGAAAATACCTGGCAATCTGCTCCCATAAAAATTACAGCCTAGATGAAATAAGTCAATCACAAAAGGACAAATATTGTATGAGACCTCTATTGTAAAAACCCATGAAAAAGTTCACACACAAAATGTAACAATCTTTGTTGGTTACCAGGGATGGGAGGGGTGGAGGAGGAAATACTAAATAGGCAATAGATAAGTGGTATCTTGCGCGAAGGGTGAGACAGTACACAATACAGGGGAAACCAGCACAACTTGTACAAGGAAAGGTCATGGAAGCTCCACAGACACATCCAAACTCCCTGAGGGACTGAATTGCTCGGTGGAGGGCTGTGGGGACCATGGTCTCGGGGAACATCTAGCTTAATTGGCGTAACACAGTTTATAAAGACAATGTTCTACATTCTACCATTCTACGTTCTACTTTGTCTGGGGTCTTAAAAGCCTGTGAGCAGCCATCTAAGATACTTCATTGGTCTCATCCCTTCGGGAGCAAGGGAGAATGAAGGGAACACGATACAAGGAAAAGATTAGTCCAAAGGACTAATGGACCACAGCTACCAAGGCCTCCACCAGACTGAGTCCAGTACAGCGAAATGGTGCCCGGCTACCACCGACTGCTCTGACCAGGATCACAACAGAGGGTTCTGGACAGAGCTGGAGAAGGATGTAGAACATAATTCTAACTCACAAAAAAAAAAGACCAGATTTACTGGCCTAAAGGAGACTGGAGAAACCCCGAGAGTATGGCCCCCAGACACCCTTTTAGCTCAGTGGTGAAGTCATCTCCGATGTTCACCGTTCAGGCTGGGAGTGGACAGCACCATAAAACCAAACGGGACTAATGAGGCACAGCAGTCCAGGGACAAGGGCCAGAAGGCAGAAGGGGAAAAGGAAGCTGGTGATAGGGAACCCAAGGTTGAGTAAGAATAGTGTTGATGTGTTGTAAGGTTGTTAACCACTGTCATAGGGCAACATGTGTACTAACTGTTAAATGATAAACTATTTTGTTCTGTAAGCCTTCATCTAAAGTGAGAATAGCAGTACAATAGGAAGAGCGTAGTCGATGTCACTGAACTGTGCATGTAGAAATTTTTGAAATGGTGTATCCTTGGCTACGTATATTTTCACCAAAAAAAAAAAGGTCGAGAAGGGAGAGGGTTGATATGTTGTGGGGTTGTTAACCAATGTCATAAAACAATATGTGTACTACTCTTTCATGAGGAAAAAAAAAAATTATAGCCTAGAAAATCCTCTGGGGCAGTTCTACCCTGTTACATGGGATCACTATAAGCCAGAATCGAATTGACGGCACGCAACAACAATAAAACATACCTTACAGAGTGATCGCACACTGATGGGAAGCTGTGTAAAGCGAACATCTTCCCCGTTAAACATTTCTTCCCCCAAGAATTTAAACACTGTGTAGTAAAAACCCTAGCAACATGTTAAGTGGCCATCCAAGGCACAGGAATTGGTCTCTACTCATCTGGAGCAACACAGGAAGAAAGAGCGTTAGGAACAGGAGGCGGATATGGAATATGTAGTTAACTGTCTCCATGAACAACTGCCTCCTTGGCCATGAGACTAGAAGAACTAGATGGTGCCTGGCTACGATTACTGAATATTTTGATCAAAGATTCTATAGAAGAACTCTGATCAAAAGGGGGAAACTACAAAAGAGAATTTCAAATTCTCGCAGACTCCAGGACGTCTTGGAGCCATGAAGGTTGGATGAACCCCTGAAACTACTGCCCTGAGATAATCTTTAAACCTTAAACCAAAAATATTTCCTCAAGTCTTCTTAAAACCAAACAATAGTTTAGCTTAACTAGTAAAAAAGGCTTGCCTTGAGCATTAAACTCTTTTAAGAACTATCTATATGGGATCAAAGTTACAACAGCAACTCAAAAGATTAGATAGGAAACTTAGGGGGCAGTGAATTTATGTTAATGGGTGAGGAACAACTTAGAAAAGGCAGGTGAGAATGGTTCCACAACCCAAAGAATGTAATGAATGTCACTGAATTATACATGTAGAAACAGTTAAATTGGAGTATGTTTTGCTGTATATATTCTCAACAACAACAAACTAAAAATAATTTAAAAAAAAAATTAAAAACCCTAGCAACAGGTAACTGACTACAAAGGGGTTGCCCAGTTTTTCCTGCTCTGAGTCACTGTCTACCCTTGGTTTTCTCTCACCTTGTCTCTGCCAGCCCCGCGTCTGCAGGAGTCTGCTGCTCTTTCTCTTACAGCCAATCTGTAAACAAAGACCAACAAGAAGCACAGTTCTTTCTTTTCACTTGTAGCTCAGCTGGGAAAACTATATAGAATTAAGATAAAACCTTTTAAAAATTAAGAAAACAAAACTGGCTAGCACTACTGAACATTTTGATCAAAGATTCTACAGAAAAATCCTGATCAAACGGGGAAAATGCAGAACAGAATTTCAAATTCCCACGGAATCCAGATTTTTCTGGAGCCATGGAGACTGGATGAACCCCTGAAACTAATCAATGTAACTGAACTGTCATGCAGAAAGTGCTGAATTGGTATGTTTTGCTCTTTATAGTCTCAACAACAACAAAATAATTATTGTATTTTTTATTGTTGTAGTTTAAATGAAGTTTACATTTCAAGTTAGTCTCCCTAACAAAAATTTATACATAGTTATGTGACCCTAATTGCTCTCCCCTTACTGTGTGTGACAGCACACTCATCTTCTCCACCCAATTCCCCATGTCCATTCAACCAGCTCCTAACCCTCTCTGCCTTCCCATCTCACCTCCGGACAGAGGCTGCCTGTTTAGTCTCTTGTATCTACTTGAACTAAGAGGCACACTCCTCACAAGTTATCACTTTATGTCCCACTGTCCAGTCCAATCCCTGTCTGAAGAGTTGGCCTCAGAAATTGTTTTAGTTCTGGGCTGATAGAGAATCTGGGGGCCATGATTTCCGGGGTTCCTCCAGTCTCAGTCAGACCATTAAGTCTCGTCTTCTTACTAGAATTTGAGTTCTGCACCCCACCTTTCTCCTGCTCCATCTGGGACTCTCTGTTGTGTTCCCTGTCAGGGCAGTCATTGGTGGTAGCCAGGCACCATCTAGTTTTTCTGGTCTCAGGCTAATGAAGTCGCTGGTTTATGTGGCCCTTTCTGTCTCTTGGGTTAATACCTTCTTTGTGTCTTTTGTGTTCTTCACTCTCCTTTACTCCAGGGGGTTGGGACCAATTGATGCATCTTAGATGGCCGCTTGCAAGGTTTTAAGACCCCAGATGCCACTCACCAAGGTAGGATGCAGAACATTTTCTTAATAAGTTTTGTTATGCCAATTAACCTAGAAATCCCCTGAAAGCATGGTCCCCAGACCTCTACCCCTGCTACTCTGTCCCTCAGAAGTGTTTGACTGTATTCAGGAAACTTCTTAGCTTTGGTTTAGTTCAGTTGTGCTGACTTCCCCTGTATGATGTGCTGTCTTTCCCTTCGCCTAAGATAATACTTGTCTACTACCTAGTTAGTGAATAACTCTCACCCTCCCTCCCTACCCTTGTAACCATCAAAGAATGTTGTCTTCTGTGTTTAAAGCTTTTTTTGAGTTCTTGTAATAGGGGTCTCATACGGTATTTGTCCTTCTGTGACTGACTAAATTCACTCAGCATAATGCCCTCCAAATTCCTCCATGTTATACGATGTTTCACGGCTTCATCGTTGTTCTTTATCGTTGCATAGTATTCCGTTGTGTGGATATACCATAATTTATTTATCCATTCGTCTGCTGATGGGCACCTAGGTTGCTTCCATCTTTTTGCTATTGTGAACAGTGCTGCAATGAACATGGGTGTACATGTATCTATTCGAGTGATGGCTCTTATTTCTCTAGGATATTCCAAGGAGTGGGACAGCTGGATCGTATGGTACTTCTATTTCTAGCTTTTTAAGGGAAGCACCAAATTGATTTCTAAAGTGGTTGTACCATTTTACATTCCCACCAACAGTGTATAAGTGTTCCAGTCTCTCCACAACCTCTCCAACATTTATTATTTTGTGTTTTTTGGATTAATACTAGTTATCCTTGTTGGGGTGAGATGATATCTCATTGTAGTTTTGATCTGCATTTCTCTAATAGCTAATCATCCTGACCATTTCTTCATGTGTCTGTTAGCCACCTGAACATCTTCTCTGGCAAAGTGCCTGTTCATATCCTTTGCCCATTTTTTAATTGAGTTAGTCTTTTTGTTGTTGCAGTTTTGCAGTATCTTGTAGATTTTAGAGATCAGACGCTGATCGGATTTGTCTCAGCCAAAATTTTTTTCCCAGTCTGTAGGTTGTCTTTTTACTCTTTTGGTGAAGTATTTTGATGAGCATAAGTGTTTGATTTTTAGGAGCTCCCAGTTATCTAGTCTCTCTTCTGGTGCTTGTGCATTGTTACTTATGGTTCGTATTCTGTTTATGCCATGTATAGGGCTCCTAGCGTTGTCCCTATTTTTTCTTCCATGATCTTTATCGTTTTTGATTTCATATTTAAGTCTTTGGTCCATTTTGAGTTAGTTTTTGTGCATGGTGTGAGGTATGGGTCTTCTTTCAGTTTTTTGCAGATGGCTGTCCAGTTATGCCAGCACCATCTGTTAAAGAGACTGTC